TTCCTCCTACCCTTGCGACACGAGGTGTGAATGAATATAAGAAGACACGACGTATCGTCTCTGATCAGCTCAGGGGGGTGTCGCTGCGTCAGCAGGCGCAGGCTGCAGAGGAACAAGTACAGGTTTATGCCTGTGCTGAGAAGAGAAGAGAGAAACAACATTTCGGCTGTGGAGCCTTCTTCGGGTGTCTCTACAGTTGTCAGAGTGCACCTAGTTTTAAATGTGCGTATCCGTCCGTCAGGGTAGATTCTTGAGAGATGTTTGAAACAGCTGTAATGAAACACGCGATTGATTTCAGAGGCATGCGGAATTTTTTTTTCTCATGTCATTGCAGAGGAAGGCTTTGGTCAGTTGGAGATGGGAGTTGAACGGCGAGAGTCGATCGCACTGCCTTCAGGTTAGGAAGCCCAGCGAGAACTGGGGCTCCTCCGGTCTCCTGAGCGCAGTTGTGAACCCGTGAACTAAACTACCGGTGGCGGCCAAATGGAGACTCACAGGTGCCATCCCAGATCAGGACTACCTCATGACGCTCAGTGGGGTTGGGAACCTCCGACTGAAACAGTCACGCACGCCTTACAAAAAAATGTTCTGTTGAGAAACGATCCGCCTCAGCCTAAACTCCTATAGCTAGCAAAACTAGACTGCTATTAGACAGGCACCTCGGGAAGACCTTCAGAGTCTCTTAAACTAATCATCTCTCGGCGGAAACGCTCAAATGCGGCAGTTGAAGGCTTAGAAACAGCCGATTGGCTCGCTACCTAGCTGATCACAGCCAATCAGAGAGCTCAGAGGCCGAATGGGTGAGACACGGCCCTCCCACACTGTGGACCCGCGTCGCGTCTCGTCTTCGGTGGGGGGGGGGCTTGTTTCTGCACCCACAGACCGAGACCGCGCTTGAATCGGGGAAGTGGTGTTTAGGAGCCCAGTGTGATGTAAGTCCCCGGATTCTGTCCTTCCTTACAGACCGACACGGTATCAACTTCACCCTCAGAAACCGAGTAAAAACTCCTGCTGCGTCTCACCTCTCATCGCAATGAACACACCAGCGCCTTCTCTGCGTTTTTTTGACTGAAGTACTTAAAAAACGAAAAAAAAAAAACAAGCTTCGACTGTGTGATCTCATGCCACAGAGCTCCCCTAAATGTTAAAGTCCGAGGAATCGCCAAAGCACAGCGCTTCGGTTTTGGTGATAATGACGGAAGGTATTCAAATCCGAGGTTCATATTCAACAGCAAAAACCTGTTTGAAAATCATGTTGCCCCCCCAAAGAAAGAGAGAGAAAAGAATCGTTCCGTGCACGCAAAACAGAATTTCTCCATTATAACGGAAGCGTGTGCTTCAGCACCGCAGCACTTAACTTTGAAGTACTGTAGCAATTTGCTGCAGAAACAAAACTTCAAGCACAACCGCCTTCACGTAGATGCAGACACCAACCCTTAAATTAAACACAACAAGAGGAAAAGTCTCCAAAGTCACCAGCCACTCCTGAGCACGCCTTTCAGACGCTATGCATCCATCTCCTTTCCATCACCTCCAATCCATGGTTACAGGAAAGCTGGGGCCTCCCTTGTCAAGGAACGGACACAGGGCAGGATACACCCTGGATGGGACACCAGTCCGTTGCTGGGCACAGACACACACAATGGGAACACGCCCCAGTGGGCAAAAGAAGTAGAATATACATCTATTAAACGCATACCTCAGACGAATAAATGTGGTCCGTAATTCGTCTAGAAGGAAATTCTAATATACGTATATCGTTATACGTCAATTATACATATATGTCAGTTATACTTAAATGGTTGGAGTTCTATTAAATGGATACATTTAGAGGACTATTATACATATATGGTTAAAGGTCTATTATACGTCAAAGATACAGTAGGTTTTATAGGTGTAGAAACTAGGAAATCAAGTCAATGATTTGGTTTAGAAATTTATTCTGAAAATATACAATCACTCACACCTGAAAAATATGTAGTTCAAATTCTACATTGCCGGCTCCTCCCTCAGCCAGGGGTATAAGTTCGAACACCTAAATAAAATCCATTACACACATCTGTTTGCGTAATACGTTTGGGTGACTGTAGGAAACGTTGTTTTTAGACTAAGTCTTTGCTGGTGTTAATCGATGTGCGACTGGTGCAGCTGGTCTCTTTACCGATGCTGACTGAGGAGATTTTTAGCCAGTGACCGGTACCAGCGCCTTCTTCCCTCTTACCGCAGTGTACCTGCTATGCAGTAGTGCCTTCTGCACGGTGGGGTTTCTGGCCTGCATCGCGCTGCAGAGATACTTGGCCGTTTCTCGCCCAGCCTGGTACCGCAGCACCCAGAGCCTGAAATCCTCTCTCACCCGTTTCTCTAGGACTGTGGCTCTCCTATATAGACATTTTAAGGTTCTGGTTTCTTTTATGAATTCTCCACGGCGCGCTCATTGCCGATGTACATTACGGCCGCCGCAGTGACGCTTCTCCTGCTCTCTGTGCTTCTTTTTTTTGCGCGGGAGGCTGGAGGGCGCTGGCGAGCAACACTGGGGCTCCAGACCGCGAGAAGAGAAGCTCTGGGCTCACTCCGGGCCTCATTGTGCTCACGCTGGCCCCCTCTTCCTAACGCACACCCTCTATAGTAGGTACACAACTGGGCACCTCTCCCAAATGGATGCACCAGCTCTTGGCATGTTCTTGTTCAGCTTAAATGTGATCCTGCGTGCAGCAGTGTGCCTGTTGCTCCAGGAGACTCCAAGAGAAACCCGAGAGGGCCGAAGACTTCATAGGATGACTGGAGCAGCAGTCATTCGCTGGAGTCTGAATACAGGAGGAATTGGGCTTTTCATTTTGAAATCCTACATCCCACAGCGAGATACTCCAGTTTTGCAAGCTTCCCCCCTTTCTCTATTTTCCCCCCATTTCATTTATCGAAGCTTTTAAATTGGTTATGCTTCATATGGGCACCAGGCCCCTTCAGTCCCATTTGCGATTTGAGCCCAGCTAACTACAAGAGAAAGCAGGGGACCTGCGAGGGGCCCTGGAGACCTGATCTTGCTTCAGTGCGACAGGGTGCAGGAGGAGGGGGGGCAGGTTGGGGGTGACCAGTGAAGGTAAGGCTATGCGGACCCTGGCAGTTGCTTCTCCTTTGCAGCCTGTCCCATAAGACCGTGAGCGACCACACAACACACACAGGCCCTCTGCTGCCTCGCACCCAGAACTGCTGCCGAACGCCTTCAATTGTGTGGTTTACGACGTCCTCTACACATCTTTTTCTGCCAGCGCAAAGTGTCTACCTTCCGGTCAGTCTGCTGTTATTCAAGAGGCAACAAGAACATGCCGATTCAATAACCCACTGCTCCCGACTGAAGGTTGATTAATTTACCACCAGCAATGGGAGAGAAGTGAAGAGCATCCGTCTACACTGGAAAATGAGACACTAAGAGACAGACATCCGATTTAACTCCTTTACTTGTTCATCTGCAAAATGATCAATTCCCCAAAAATTCCAATAAATAGTTACAGAAGGTGGGTGGAAAGTAGATGGCCTGGGCTCTGCAGCACATTCTCATCTTTCGAGCTGGTCCACACCAGTACGATCTGCGAATGTGGGTTATACACAGCCATTCCTCTTCACCAAAAGCTTTCAAACTTGCAAAGCAGGGTCTTGTCACAAACAATTTCTCTCAGATAAGACAGCCAAGAAAAACAAAACAGCTCTTGTACACATTATAGAGTAAGAGGAAGGGGGTTGTACTGCTGCAAGGAAGGTGGAAAAGCCTTATTTTGTTTTACACAGTGCATTTCATTAAACTAGCCGCCCTAGTGCATTCAGGAGAAATGGAAAATATTAAGTATTAAAAATGAAACTTGTCTAAATCAGACTGATTATTAGTGAAGTCTCACTTGAATTTAATACGTTTACTTTGATCAACGCCAGCTTTTCAAAATCAGAAAAAACACAAATACAGCCAGGCCAGCACAACTTTTACAGTGAGGGGGTTTTTGTACAAGGGGGACTGATCCCATCCCATTAACTGTCCGCAGTGAGAGAGTCTGTGCGCTGAGAAGATCCCGCAACCGTGTTTCAAAAGCACCAGCGGCAAAGCTCCCGCCGCCGCGCAGGACGCTGCCCCCTAGTGGGCGTGCGGCCTGCCCCGGCCCCTGCCTCTCCCGGCCGGCATGGCGTCGACGGTGGAGCGCGGGTTCTTGATGGTCTCGTCCACGGACAGGATGAGGCAGGCGGCCTCGGAGGCGGCGGTCAGGGCGTTGATGCGGACGATGGAGGGCTCCCACACGCAGGCCTGGAAGTTGTCCGCGATGTCCTCGTTGTTCACGTCCACCCCGTACCACATCCCGCCCTGCAGGGAGGCGCACAGACAGGCATGAGCGCTTTCGGGATCTTGGGGCGCTTCTCCCAAACGACTACTGAACACCTTCAAGATACACCTGCGTCCTCTGTGTCTTTGTACAGAACTCACTATTTGAGAGAGAGGTGCGCCCTCTCTATGGTAAACTACACCTCTAACGGTACCTTAGGGACGAGACCTGCACCTATGCCCTCCGCCGCGGCTCACCTGCGCGTGCTTGGCCCGCAGCTTGTTGAGGATGTTGGTGGCGTCGAAGCCAGCGTTGTCGCACAGCTGGCGCGGGATGATCTCCAGGGCCTTGGCGTAGGCGCCGATCAGCAGCTGCTGCTTCCCCGGGATGGTGCGGGAGTAGTCGCGCAGGTACTTGGACAGCTCCATCTCGATGGCGCCGCCTCCGGCCACTATGGAGTCGTTCTGGAGGCGGGGTGGCAGAAAAAAACTGTTGAGGGAGAGAGAAAGAGAGCAGCACCGCGCCGGGGCGAGACACGGGGACGAGGCAGACCGAGCTCTGGCCGCCGCCGCCCAGCCGGCCTACCTTGATGGCTCTCCGGACGATCATGATGGCGTCGTGCAGCGAGCGCTCCGTCTCTTCCATGAACTGCTCGGCGCCTCCCCGCAGGATGATGGTGCAGGTCCTGGCCTTGGGACAGCCCCGGAAGAAGTTATACCTGCCAGCACAGGAAAGGATTTGGCTTTACCGCAGCCGAGCAGTGATTGAGAGAGAACAAACGGGCCACGCGCTTTTCCGGGCCAGAGCAGAAGGCCACAGCTCGAAAAGCCCAAAAAAATATTCTGTCAAAAAGATTCCGCCTCTGAACCTCCAATTAACGCCGCCCTCAGCCATATCGGACCATAAAATCCGATCTCTCTCTATACATTTAAGTCTCAAACGACAAATGATCACTGAACTTTAGCCGACAAGGTTTCACGCTCGCCATGTTAACGTTCTCTTCCGCTTTACCAAAAGCCCAGCCGCACAATGTTCTTCTGGGTCAGTACCTCAGTTAACAAGGGCAACAAATCGGGGAGTCGTGGCGTACTGATCAGCCCATGCAGAACAGAGTTGCACTAGAGCGCACAGTGCGGATGCAATAAACGAAAATTACCTCTCCCCTCCGACCTGGACCTCTTCGAACAGCGCGCACTGTCCCAGGACGTCTTCCGTCAGCGCCCCAACGCTGGTCTGAATGGAGCCCCCGCAGGCCTGATGGGAGGATAACGATGCCCGTCAGATTTCAGTGCAAGCAAACCTGCTGCCTTAAACCAGCCCCAGCGGCTCCCAGCTGGCACGTTTCCCCGTCTGCGGCACTAGAACACAGCCACGCGGTTCACAAGGCACCCCCGCCCAGAAATTCACTCAGAAACACAGTCTGCTAACTTGTCGGAGCAAGACGGCAGAACTGTTCCAGGACCATCAACAACAACAAAAAAAAAAAAGACAAGCAGCATTTCAGGTGAGGGCAGCAACTTTACCTTCAAACAGTCTGAACTGATGCTTTCATCCACCATAATATAGGACAGCTGAAATTACACTACACTGCCACTACATCAGAGGCAAGAGTGACTGCTTTTTAAAAATGAAATGAGCAGACACTACATCAGCTACTACATCAGCTATCAGTACTGGTTACTTTCTAAACACCTTTCCTTGGAGACTGATAGCAGATCAGCGCAGTCTGAAATTCCCTCTGCAATTAAACACATTTTTGCCCACTCTGGAGTTAATTAACCGCCCCCTGCCTTCCCCATCATACCATCATGGTCCTCTTGAGGTCCTCCTCTAGCACTCTCCCGGCGCAGAACAGGTCCCGATCGGCAAAGTACTGCGTGGCCACGTCGCCGATGGGCAGCTTGGACAGCACCACCTTGGCCCCGGACTTGTAGATCTTCTCCAGCTTGTCGTAGAGGATGCTCCACTCCGCATCCACGATGGCCTGGTAGTCCTGCAGAGGGACACGCCGGGAGATCAGACACCCACCCTTTACTACAGCTGAAAACCCACTGCGCCGGTTCAGATCGTCTGCCATCTACATCGCTTGCCAGCGAGGAAGCGAGTCACGCCAGCTGTGGCTTTTTAAGATGTGCTGACCATCACTCTCGAACCTGTCCCGAATCACCAGTGCGTGGGAGTGCAAATAGGAAGTCGTGTCCCCTAAAGTACTCTAAAAAAAAAGGCATCGGCAGTTTTCTTCTGGCCTTTTGCAGACACGGGAACGAAAAGGCCCCTCCAGCCTTCCGGCAACGATTTCCCTGCAACCGAGAGAAACGCTCGGCACCTTTTCTTACGGCTTCGCGACCCACTGACCTCCACGGAGTTCACCCGGACCTCGGCGTTGTCCTTCTCGGCCTTCAGCTCCAGCTCGATGTTGAGCAGGGCAATCCGGGGGTTCTCGTACTTCTTGGGCTGCATCTCGAACCCCGCATAGGAGAAGGTCTTCTTGAAGGCCACCCCCGACACCAGCTGGGATTCCTGGTCGCAGGGGGCAGGGAGGGCAGAGTCAAGCAGAATGCAGGCTGGAGCAGCACGGTTCTAAACGCATGTGACCTGGTCCCAAGAGCACTTTCAGGTGCAGGTTCTATACCCTCCAGGCAAAGAAATATATTGGAAAATCCAAATCCAACATCCAACAGAGTCATCTATGCTATATGATGTAGTAGTTCAGGTGGGGAGCTGCGTCAGCATGCGTAGGGTGCAAAGGAACATATAATAGGTTTATTCCATGCTGAAAAGAGAAGAAAGAAAACACGTTTCGGCCTTGGTGCCGTGGGGGCCTCTCACACCCGAAGAAGGTTGAAACGTTATGTTTTCTTTCTTCTCTTTTCAGCATGGAATAAACATATTATATGTTATATGACAACAACCTGTTAGTTGAATCAAGTGGTGGTAAAGGCAATGCAGACTCCCAAGTGCTTTTCTAAACCACCTCTGCTACAAGTCCCAGCCTGCAGAAATTTAAAACCCCAACCTCACTCCGGGACTCACCTCGAGAGCACCCCCCTGCACCTTCTTCACACCGATCATTTTCAGGGGCAGAAGGTCGTCCAGCAGCATCACGGCGTCCACCACCATCTTGGAGAAGAACTCCTTCTGGATGGCGATCAGCTTGGAGTTCAGCGCGGTGGAGGCGCACTTCTCCAGCAAGCTCCTCTGCTCCCTGCGGGACAGACAGAGACAGACAGGCGCAGGGATGAGCCCACAGTGTTGGGTCAGGTCAGATGAGGGCAGCAGGTCCCCCCGGTCATCTTTCCTCATCCCTCACCAGCAGACGAGCGCACAGAGGGGACGAGACAAGCCGCCTTCGTAGAGCACGGGTTTCAGAAAAACAATCGTTTCTGTTGGCTCTAGCAATCATGGCACAAAAAAGCCATCTGTGCTAGTTACTGGCCGCGTTCCATCTCCATGTGAGTTTTAACCGCATTAGAGAGAAGAAAAGGGTTTCTGCGCTGACGGGCCTGTTAGCCTGTTGTTCAGCGAGGAAATGTCCCCGGCCTGGTTCTGCTGAATGGAAAACTCAGGTCACCCCCCCAGACGAGACTGGTCTAGGTGAAATCGGCAGTGGCGAGGAGTGGTTAGGACTCAACTGGAAACTGGAAGTTTCCGAAACTTAATCTCAAATTAGAACTGCTGCTGCAGGGCTCTTAATCCACTCTGACTGTTTGGAATCAGTTCAGAGAGAGCCCCTGAGTGCAATCTGGAAATAAACGAAACTCACTGCTTATCATCTTTCTTCACAGTGACGGCGATTTCTTCGGTCTTTTTCACAGCCTGAAGAGAGAAAAAGACAAGCCTTCAGAGTTCAGAGCACGGTCTGGCCAACAAGTCTAGCAGGCGGTACAGCGGGAGACATCAGCTCTTATACTAGCGATTCCCACATTCTACCAACACGTGCTCCTGCTTCCTTCAGCCACAGATACCAACTCGGACCTTTTGCAGGGCTGAAAAGGGCAGCTCAAGCCACGGTGTAGGTCTAGGACAGAGGTCTCCAGCATCAGACACATGTAACAGCTTTGCGGTCCTCAATTTCAGCTGAGGGCAATTTAAGAGCCCATTTCAAACCAGCCTGTGCAACTGCCAGGCCTCTCAACTGAGCATCTCACACACTGAATTCACAAACAAGGTGGTGTCGCCAGTCTTGGAAACTGGATCGGGGGGCCCCCAGGAGCGAGGGAAGAGATCCCAGGTCCTGATGAACTGATTAAACTGAAAACGCCTGGAGAGTCACGAACTGCTCCTCAGCGCCCCTTACTGGTCACATGGAGGTTTGAGCTCCAGAACAAACCCCACCAGGCTGAGAGGGAAAGCCCCCTCCAGAAGCAGGGGGCAAGTCTCTGGAAGGGGGTGGGGTGGGGGCACGTACCAGCTGGGTGGCGGTGCGGAAGGCACGGATGATGATCTGGGGGTGCAGCCCCTCCTCCACGTAGGACTTCACCTGCTTCAGGAACTCCGCTGCCAGCAGGGTCACAGAGGTCGTGCCGTCGCCCACCTGGAGAGACAGGGACCGAGTCAGGAGCGCCGGGGGAGCAAGAGGAGGAGAAGTAAAGCTGACAAAGCACCGGCTTTTGATCTAGATCGTTTCCGAAGTCTGCACGCAGCACGAAAAGGCGAGCTGGGATCACACGACAGGGCTATTTATGATTAAATTAAACCATTGTGACTTCTGCTGCTCTGTAGGACGCTCAATGGCCAAAACCGTGTGTCTGTTCTCTTTGCTTTTCAGCGTGGAACCAACCTGTGCATGTTTTCTGAAATGCAGGGAACTGTCACAGAGCTTTGTTTAAAAAGTAGCCCACCTTTGCTTCTTGCTAGCCCACCCAGAGGGAGACTGCTTGAGTCTCTGAACACAGACCAACTCCCGGACCTCGTAGGGTCAACACGGAGGCGTTCGACGGACACTCACCTCGGCATCCTGGGACTTGGCGATGTCCACCAGGGTCTTGGCGGCTGGGTGAACCACATCCAGGAGCTTCAGAATGGTGGCGCCGTCATTGGAGATGGTAGCTTTCCCTACAGGAGGAAGAAAAATATCACGGGATACCGTTAGCCAGCTGCTACCAGCTAGCCCCACATGACCTACTGGAAGAACACTCAGAAATACGATTTCTGGGCCAGGACTGCTGCAGTGCACGTTCCTCACAGCCAGGCAAGACACACTGAACAGTTTCCCCGCATGCAAACTGGCGTCGTCACCCTGAAGCCGCCAACAGAGAAGTGCTCTGCTCAGATCTCCACCCTGCGTGGACTTGATCTGGACAGGACGCATTTCTGTTTCAATACAGGGTTTATTATTTCAGACAGTGGTCTGTGCTGCATAAGGCAATACCTTGGTCACCTAAAGCCATCAGAAATAAGAACAGATAAAATTTTAAACAGATATGGATTCAAAAGTACAAGAAAATAGTTATGGCTGTGCAGCACTTAACTTTCGATATCTGAATCTTGGTTTTAATTTGATTAAAACAGTCTAGTTAATCCACAAGTTACTTTGCTATTTTATTGCAGAATACTATCTTTAGTATATGATCTATTCATGTGAGATGAGCAGGACAGGAGCCCATTGCCACTTGGGTGCATAACGGTACACAAGCTCGTGCCTGATCACTTCTAAGGACGACGCGGAGTGGGAGTGATAAGAATGCTAGAATTAAGGCGCTCCACAGAACAGAAAATGACAAGATCAGCTATTTTCAGGGGCTCAAGAAGTTGTACACGACAGGCTGATGAAGCCGAGCCTTTCAAGTACAGAACAGAACAATTAGGGGACCTGATACAACCTTAAGGGCCCTGACAATGGCAACCCAGCGGACACCAGTGAAATTTTCAGGGAACAGCATTGAAAACTGAGGGGGGAGGGGGGGGGGCTTCTTTACACAAAGGGTGGTAGGAGTGTGGAACAAGCTGTCTAGCCATGTTGTTCAAGCCAATAACCTGGCTTCTTTCAAGACACAGCTAAAAGAGATTGTCCAGGCTGGATGGGAGGCACTTGTTTACACAAAGGGTGGTAGGAGTGCAGAACAAGCTGTCTAGCCACGTTATCAACACGAGCACCTCTTGGAGGCAGCCAGGGTAAGAGACCCTCGGATCACTGTCAAACGGGCTAGGGGGGGGTCTCCCTCTGGCCATTGCCCCGAGAGCAGGCGGCGGGGCTCACCTCTGCTGTCCACCATGAGCTTGTCCATGCCGCGTGGCCCCAGGGTGGTGCGCACGGCCTCGGAGATGACCTGGCAGGCGTTGATGTTGCTGACGAGCTGGGGGACGCCCTGGGAGGTGTCCGTCCCCTCTTTCAGCAGGATCACTGGTGTGGGCTGCGGAGCAAGAGGGGGGACTGTCACCACGGCGACTTGCCAGAACCCCACTGCGGCCAAACTCGCCGAGCACGACAATGGAACCTCACCAAAGTGCTGAAGCACAACAGGACTACACCAACATTAAGACTGTGTATGTTTGTAATTCCCTGCTGCAGAGCAGCGAAGACTTGCTTTGCATTATGCAGATTAGGAAGAGAGAAAAAGACAAGCCTGTGGGGAAGAATACAAAGCATTCAACTGAATATTTCTGCAATCACTGTAGCCTTGGTGCAACAATCTCTTTTCTATGGGAGCTGCATCGATTGCCAATCCGGATCCATCTTGTGACTTCCTCCCGAGGACATTACTAAGGTTTTCTCCAGTGATGGGACTGGAACCAGCCCTGTGCTGTAACCTAGCAACAGACACCAGCAGCGATATTTCAGCAAGAAGGAGGTGAACACTTCTGGTGATATTCTGCACCAAGCACGAGGTGACCTACTGGCCACACCTGGGACTTGATGGCACACAAAGAATAAAGGAGAGAGCTCTTTTTTTTCTATTTGAGGCAGGCAGAAAGGCACAGCTCCCTGTTGTGAGGAGGTAGTGTCTCTAGAGGCCTCTGAAATAAGATCATTAGAACTACTGTTACAGCCCAGGGGGGTTCTCTAGCCCTGATCCAGCCAGTCCAGGGCTGGTCCTGTAGAGCCACACTCTTGCCTTTAAATCAGTCTCTATGAAGTCTCATCTCTGAAGTCCATAAATACTGGAAGTTAACTGCCATCAACTCAACAGGCAATGTGTTCAATTAAGTCAGGTGGAGATCACTAGGGACAAAAACATCAATAGCTTTCACCGGGCGATTTAGGGTCACCTAAACGAATAGCTGGATTGGGGCTCCCTGGGACTAGGGGGGGGGGGGGACCCCTCAAGGAGGGGAACAGCCATTGTCCATCACTTATTTTGCAGAATTAAAAAAAAAACTGCAGCTGCACCAAACCAGGAGACTTCAATGATTTTTTTAGGCAAAATATTCAACACTGCACAAAAGGAGAGCACTTCAGCCCCTCCCTCGGTACTGTAATCGCTTACTGTGCACACGGTTCAGCACACGGAGGGCTGGACTGAAACACACAGACAGAAACCTCCTTTGATAAAGGTTCGGTTTTGTTTTTTTTTACCGTAACTAGAGACAGTAGTTCAACAGGGCCCAAACTGTCATGTCTCAGGCCTACCGAAGACTGTCAGAGGACTGGCGCGGCGAATCGGGGCATTTCTCTCTCCCACAACACGATTAAAGACGGGAAACCCGCGGTAACACATGGGACTCCGATCCCGGAACAAAAAAGACAAACACGGTTTTCAACAAACAAGCAGCTTTTCTGTTTCAGCCAGCGGCGCTTCTGAGTCGAGCGACAATGACAAGGCAGCGCCCCCACTGAAAGAGACGGAGACCGTAACCACGAGAAATCCAAACAAACAAATTGAACGCGATCATCCTTCTTCCACGACCGATACTGCCGGTTCTTAAGAGAAGGGGGTCTGCTTCGTCGAACCACCCGTGCGGTTCGATATTCTAGAGATGGGTGACAGATGGATGAAAGCGGGTTGCAAAGGGAGGGTAAATCCATTCACTCACCATCATCTTGTCGGCTCTGTCGCTACGCTCAAGCCGGTCGGAAGCTCCCACAATGCACCTCGACGGAGGAAGTTTCCAGCAAGAGGGAGGGGCGTAGTACCAACGCCTTGGCCTTACTGGGCGACGCACACCTCCTCCGTGGGCGTGGTTCGGGATGAAGCCTGTGTGTGATTGGGCTGTTCGAGAGAGGGCGGTGCGAGGGTTGTGGGAGGGGGTGGAGTTAAGGCTTGAGCGCCTTGAATGGGCGCTGAACTGTCTTCCTTGATCTTAACGGACGCTTTAGTCCGAGTTACAGTTTATCGAAAATAAACCACGAACTGTAAAAAACAAAAACAAATAACGGTGCAAAA